AGCATTTTGTGGGTATTGAGTCATTTAATCCTTCTAAGAAACCAATGAAATAGACACTATATTAAGTCAATATAGTATTGATGAATAAAATGAATTGGTCACTTAACATAGAATCCCCAGATAGAAGTAGTATACCCAGGCAGAATAATTTTTAATTTTAATGCCTTTTTGCTTCTGAAAAAGATCTTTAATAATTTTATTTAAATCTATATAAAAGATAATCATTAAGACTATGAAAATATTGTCAGCCACAGAACCAAGTACACTTACATTTTCTGATCTACATCTGTCCTAGTCTTATCGAAATACTTAGGATTTGGCCTCCTAAAGCTGGGTATTGAGCAAAGTGGTCAATAGCATGAGGAAGAGGAGACCTCCCTACTGGCCTAGTGGTTAGTCTCAGCACTATCACCACTGAGGCCTGAGTTTGATCCCCCTTAGGGGGGTAACCCACATGGCACAGAGACTTCTCCTGTCTCGTCCACTGCTCCCCTCAGCAGTGTATTTCAATAGAGCTGCCTTTTCTGCTCCTATTCTGTCTCTGGTGCATCTTCTTACCACCCCCTGCACCCCAGTTCTCTACACAAAATAAAACAAAAACAAATAGCATGAGGAAGAGAAATATTACTCTTTATATTAACAGATGATAGAAAAAAAGAAATAACAGATGATAGGAGTAGTCAATGCTGAGGGTCAGGGAATAAGGAAAGAAAATACCCATAACCTGGGTATTTGAATTGGGCTAAAGAAGTCTGTGGAGAGAACACACATGGAAAATAGATACTATTTGGAAATAGTCTAATGGAAATAGATACTATTTGCTGTATGCTGTGGGTCATCAGCCCTCTATCCTACCTCTTTTATGAAATCGTACTCACTTCTACCCTCTTCAGTAATAAGACTTCTCTGGCAGTTGACTTTTGTTGGCAGCAACCAAAGAAATTGGTGAATCGGGCAACATCTGAATAATTTGTGTAAAGCACATAGCATAAAACTTAGCACACAGCAAAGGCCAAAGCTTGTTATTTTTTCATTCTTTTGTGTGTGTGTGTTACCATTATGAGATGGAGCTATCACACTATGCAGCCCTGACAGTGTGATAGAAACAAAAAACTTGGTCTTGTAATCCTTGATCTGGTTTCTGTGTGTGCATCTTTATTTCATATTGAATAATTATAGAACTGAAATTGAAATCAATTTTTTGTCCTTATATTTTTGCATGTTTCCAATGTTGATTTGAAATAGGAATATAGAAATAGAAAGATTCATGGAAAGTAGAAGTGCCTCTCTTCTCCTGCTGCTTCTTTCCAGAAGTGATAAGTGATACATAGAAAAGAAGTTTTAATAGAAGGACTCCATTTTATTGCTGATCATATTTAGCTTTTATTTTTCAAGCGTTATTCTTCACCTTCATCCATCCATTCCAGCTTCTAGGTACCCCCTCGCCATTGCTCATGATTGACTGCAATTCTCTCTCTATTTCAATCTTGGCTATTCTTCCAAACTAAATAATCATGTAACAAAAATGTCTTGCTCATTACTGGTATGCAATAAATAATATTTGATGTATTGAGAAACAACTAAGAAATAATTACCTTACTCTGAATAGATGAAAGCACGCAAACAGAACCTAATGTTTGGTTCATGTAAATTGTTGCAACAATACATGCACATTTTTAAGTCTTTGGGAATAAAATCTGCTCCTTACATATGGTTTATCTAGTAAATAGCAGGATCACAAAAAAAAAAAAAAAATTCTAAGACAAGGGTGTGAAGTGTATGCAAAAACTGGCATCTGAGTAGTTATTCCAGGACTGGTGACCACCCCCAGGAGAAATCTGTACTTGAGGTTTACACTTAAATCTCCACAGCTTCCTGAGACCCACACTTGGACTCTCGGAGGCCACACCACCAATAATTCACCTGATCTCGAGTGATTCTCTTACTTACTGGAGGAGTTTTTGCTTCTCTTCAAATATACAAAGACATGTAATTATTCAATGAGATGGTGTGTGCAGAAAGCCTGGATATATAATAGACATTTCAGGAATGTTACTTTCCTCTGTGTTATCTCCTCTAAAAGGAAAACACAGCCAACTGTCTCTCATTTCCATAAACAGCAGACAAAAAGGACATAGATTTAACTTTTTACAGAGTTAATATGAAAGAAAAAGTTGTATACTTTGACCATAAGAATGATGAAATAACTAAGAGTTCAGGTTATAGATAATTTTTTCAATTGGACTGACCATTTTCTTGCTTAGAAACTGAAAATTAAAACTCATTTTTACTCAGTAGCCTGCATTCAGGGCCCATTTTGTCAAGAGCACTGAGTGGGACACTGTGCTATTTTTCAAAAGAAATAACAAAATGTGATTTCTGTCAAAAAAGAATTTCCAATATAGAGATAATCATGATCCGACAAAACTCAAATCCCTAAAAACACAAGGAGCATACAAAACCTGACATGCAATAATATATTATACTTTGTAATAAATTGGTGCTAACCTTATAAAAGTGGCTAGAATACATTTCTTCCAAAATCTTACAACAATAATTGTAATGTTAGTTTCCAAAATGTCTTAATACTATTATTCCCTCTAAAAGGTTTTCTTTTTTTTTTAAGATTTATTTTTTTATTTATACAAGAACTGGGTACAGGCCAGATGCATGGGAGGGTGAGAGGATTCACCAGAGACAGAGCAGGGAACAGAACAGGCAGACTGATGAAATACATTGCTGAGGGGAGCAGCAGGCAAGACAGGAGAGGTCTGCCCACCATGTGGGTTGCTCCGAGGCCGGTGGGGATTGAACTGGCACTGCAGAGGCTGTGGGCAGTTTCACAGCACTGCACTCAACCGCCTGTGCCACCAGGGAGTCCCTAAAAGATCTAACAGATTTTAATTTAGCACCTGTGAATAGAAAACTTTACCTTCCTACTTTAGCTGCTATTGTTCTGGTTAGACAAGTAATAGGTGGTGACTGCCTCCTCAGGCACTCATTTTAAATGGCTTTTCTGCATTGAAAGATTAATTTTCATTTTCCACAATAAAAATAGTACTTTTTTTCCCTTTTTTCAGCATCTGTAACATTATCAAATATACTTGTTAAATTTCCCTTTCCTGTTTGATTATAATTTCTTGGGGGCAGAAATTGTGCAGTGTCTATTTATTAAAGATTCCTAGTACAGAGTCTGAAGCACAGTAAGAGCTCAGTTTTGGGAAATGAATAAATGTGTGAATGATGCTGTATTAGATACTGTCAAAAGTTAGGATTCAGAGGAATTTAAAAATCAACCGCATAACATACAATGTAATCTATAGTTGAGTTATTATGAAAAAAACTGGTAAATATTTCTCTTTATTTTATTTTTAAATAATTTATTTCTTTTTAATTGAGGTGACAGTTGGATACCCCCATCAAGTATTGCCACCATAAGGCACCCACCACCAAATCACCCAGAGTCCATCACCGTAGTCCATTGTACTTCCTTCCCTCTTGGTGTGGTAAAGACTTTTTCAAGTCTCATGGACATGCACCTCGGTGTCCTTACTCCCTGGCTATTGATTCCCCAGTCCGTAAGATTACAAAAATAAACTTTATAAAAATCAGATGTCCAGAGGGGCTAGGGCTGCTTCAGCCCCTTGGCCTATCTCATGTACAAATTATTTTCACAGTAAAGAGGAAAACACTGAATCTTCTCACAATCCCCTGATTCCAACAGAGTTAAATAAAGTTGTTCATTTTTCAAGGTTTTTGACATACTTCTGTCTTTCTAGCCTATGTGGTAAATCTTTATTTCCCAGAAACTCCTGTGTCGATTTTACTGACCCTGTCTGCATGGTAACTTTTTTTTTTTGATTCTTTGCTATTAGTGAATGACAAGTGAAGGATATGCATTTTAACTTGAAAATGTCAGGTATGCACTTTAAGAGATATATTTTTGCAGTTTTTAATGAGGTGGTGTTTCTTTTTGAAAGAAATACTCATCTCTGATGCGGGTGCTGTGCAGGTGACAACTGATATTTAATAAGCGATGGTTCTTGTATTAGTCACAGTTCTCTAAAGAAAATGTCTCAGATTGCTTTTGAAAAACTCTTAGCGTCACTAGCCCAAAGGCAAGATGTGACCTTTTTATTACATAATGAGAATCATTTATTATCTTACAATGTATCTTAAAGTCACAGACAAAATGCCACTTTGATAATTGCTTTCAATTAGCTTTGAGCATAGCACATATTCATAAAATGTCTTCTCTAATTTAGACTTGAATTAGAGAAAATTGCAGACATAATCTACTTTAAGGTTGTCTCATTTAAGGTGATTCGTAGTTTTATATCAAAGAAATCAAAACGTGTAGCTTTAGAACAGTCTCTCAACGTGTTTTAAGCAGGCTTTTCAATATTTGATTCTATTCTATTACCAATTAATTAACCAATTAGAAAGCTAGTTCATCATTTCTGACCTTTTATGCATGTTAACTTTTGACTTTCATTCCTAATGATTGTTTTGAAATTAAGCCTTGCAGCTCATGTTGAAAGGGAGAAACAATCTGATTAGCAAGATAAATAAGGCTTGCCTCGGTACCAGTATATCTTGATGTTGGTCTATAACTGGAATTCTGAATACTATAATGGCACACCCTTTCATGCCTTGAATAAATAATACATACCTAATGGTCAATAAATTGTGCTAGATTATCAGGAGCCTAAATAAGGTGTTTTGAGGTATTACTCTAAGTGAGGTTGAAGGTAAGGTGATAGTTAAAATGCGCTTTGAATTCTTTTTTTTTTTTTGTATGTCATCACCCTAAAACATTGAAAAATGGTTTAAATGTGCATCTCTATCTCCCTTAAAACATTTTTGAAATAATAGAAACTCTGAAACTACATTTTACATTTATGGTGTTTCAGTACCTCCTGAAAGATGATTAACCTTGACATAGACTCTCAGAAATTAGCGTTACATCTAGAGATTACTCTCTTTTTCTTTTTCCCTAGATAAAAATTACCCACAAGAACCAAGCCCCAATGCTGATGGGCCCTCCTCCAAAAACCGGGTTGTTCTGCTCCCTCGTCAAAAGAACAAGAAACCAAAGCAAGGAATAATCCTCTGTCGCTCCATTCTTAGTGATCTAATTAGCATAATTAGGCCATGGAACACTTATGCTGGAAATCTTTGAACCATTTCAAGTCTTCTGCTTGTGCAAAATCATGGAATTGGTTTAATATTTTTGTTACTGAGCTACTGTAAAATTCAGCTATTAGAAAATTGTCTCAGTTATTTAGGCATCATTGCATGAAGAAAGCAGAAGTTTACATGAAGTGATATTGCATATTTTGGTTGCATGCATTGCCATAGGTTTTTATGTCTCCCACACATTTCTCTTCCAATTTTCATTTACTAACCTGTGAGAAAAAAGCTCTCATGAAAAAGGAAATGCCACGGGAAATGTGATTCTCAGTGCGATTACAATTATTAATAAGCACTAATCAATAATGCTACCATCACAGTTTTCCATAATCGCAGGTTGCTGTATTTTCCTTTCAGAAACAGTGTATCAGTGATCTTTGACCTTTGACTTGAGAAGAAACTTTTAATTGAAAGATTTTATTAAGTAGATGTCTACAGTACCTTGTTATATCTAAGTTTTTCTTCAACATTTTTATGCTTTTGAGTGGAATTTAAAATATCAGGTGTAAAGTTTACTTGTCCTGAAAATTAGAAAATGGTTTTTATTTTGGTTAGTTTTGTTTTTAATTCCAGAAATAAGTGAAAACACGTTCCTTGGCAGTAAAGTGTGGTAATATGCCAAGCTTTGTTACTTACTGCATGTGATCTAGAAAAATCGTAATCGCACCAGTAACCAAATAGATGTTTTAAACTAATAAACTGTGCCTAATAAACTGTGTTTCCCACCAAAGATTCAGAAAAAGATGCTTGAGAGAAATGGGTTAGTGCATAATTAATTAAGCCTTGTGGAGAAAATTTGTGTTTCTGATGCTTCATTTTGTGATGACTACAACACTGGAAGACAGTGAATTATCCATTAATTATAATTAAAATTCTCACCTTTCACAGACAATAGGCCTTGCAACACAATCAAAGCTCAGTTGCTGATTTCCTGCTTTTTCAATCATTTATAAATATAGACGTCCGTAATTTTTAATGGATCAGTTAACTTCATTTGAGAAAGTAAACATATCAGTTCCTTTTTAGTTTAAATTGATACCTGTAATAATATTGAGATCACGGAAGCAAATCAAGCATGCAATTAGCTCCTCCCTCTCACCTACGTCACATCCATCTCTATGACATTTCAAATGTTTATTTGGAAATAATGGCCTATATCATTGTCTAAAGTGTTGATGGTAAGGTTCGATTCTCTGATTGTTTGAAGAAATTATGGAATAGTACTTTTCTTATGGTTTCATTAAACATATGATATAAAAAATGAAATGCTATTCTGAGTAGTGTCAGTATCGTTCATTCACATTGACCTGCATCTCTCATTGCATGTTTTATGTTTGCAAACATGCCATAAGGAAAACAAGTGCTTGAAATGCATGATTTATTAGTTTCTCTTTCCACTCTGCATTAAAGTACCAATGATTTATCCGTTCTATTTTTCTATTGATTCATTCATCTTTGAATTAAAAAAATAGCATTTAGTGATTCTGTTGAACACAATCCTGTGCATGGATTTATGGATTTCAAGTGAAATTGCTATAATTTTTGTTCTTTGGTTTGAAAACTAAACTGAATGCTGATATATCAATAGCTACTCTCAAGCAATGTGCTGTAATGGAAGATTATGTATAAAGCATATTCTTTTAGTGTTCCAGGAACATTAGATGGTAAATATCAATCAACAATAAGTTTAATTGCTTTGAAAATAAAAGCTTTTGAATAAAATTAAGACTTAATTTAGCATTCCCAGGAAAATTATCATTACAATTGCAAATGTAGCACAGCAATCACTTGTGCTAGTAAAAAAAAAAAAACCCAACAAAAAACAAAACAAGTTATTTGGCAGAGCAGTCATCTAGACCCAAAGAAATCTCAAAACATAACAAATGCATTACTGACATAGTGTTACATAACACACACATTGATTTTGTGTATCTATGGTTACAGGTAATAAATATTTTCACATAAATTGATAAAATTTTCTACAATGAGCAGGCAGGCTTTGTGTCAAAAACATATTCCGAAGCCACAAATTATTTTATGTTCAGTACAACATGCAATTATTTCTTGGCTACCTTTTGTACTATATAGTTTGAAGACAGCAGTAGTTTGTGAATCATTTTTAACAATCTGTGCAGGGGAAAGCTGTTGAATAGATAGTAGGACAAGACAAATTTAACAACCTGCCTGTAAGATTTCAGTAATTGAAATAATGGGATGCAGCTTCACTTCGATGTAGCTATAGAACTACAATTAGTGATAATAGTAGGTGCTCACAGTTTCAGTCAGTTCGATTCATTGGTACCAATAATAAATGTTTAAATAGAAATCAAATTTTACTTTCCCCAGCTCAATTTCTAAAGAGACTGACATGCTTGCCCTTCAAGTACACTACTCCTGGGATTTGGAAAGTAGTTTCTAAAAACCTACTTTGATGGTTTTGAAATCAGAGAAGATAGTCTCCCCATTTGTATGACAGCTTCGAGGGAAGAATATGTATTTAAGGGAAAATTCAAAACTGAAAGTTCTATGGTATATTAAAATATTGAATAATAAACGTTAACTTTACAAGGTGGAAATTTTTCTTATATGTGTGTGGGTGACTGAGTTGTTGAGTCAACCTCTTTTAAAGTAGTAGACATAGCAGTCTTATAAAGTTTTAAGTGAATTAAGCTCTTAAGTAAAAATGAACACTGCGTTTACAGGGGTCAGAGGAATAAGGAAAAAGAGATATGCACTTGACTGAACACTGCCACTCAAGAAGTTAATAAACAGAAAGAGATTCCAGAATTAACCCTGGGTAACCAGGTTTCCAATAGAAATGGAGGTATCTGTGTAAAATCAGAAAATAAAAGTACATAAATGTTTTTTCCACTTACATGTGTTTACCATGGCTATCTGATGCAAAAAAGTGCTAGTCAGCTTATTGTGGAGGAATAACATAGCTTGTAGGAAATACAAAAAAAAATAATAACATCTTAAAACAATTTTCCTTTCCAAATAGGTTGTGTTATTATAGCCATAATGAAGCAAAAGTTTAGTGTAGTCTGCAACCACAGATAGAAATTTAAATCCAATGAGAATTATTAAAGCACATATATTTTTTGGGCTTTGTTCTTTTTCCTTTTTAGGGAGATGTGAGGTAATTGCCATTTTCAAGGAAGACTGTTTTGAATCTCAGACTGTATTCTACTTGAAAAAGACAAAACTTTTAAATGGCTCCATTCTTTTTTGTGTTAGCTTTTTTTTGGTTTTAAAGAAGGAAAATGGCACTTTTCATGGCACATAAGAAGAATTATTCACATACAGTGCATTTATTCTCATTTAGAAGATTAAGCCATTGTAATATAGGTTGAGGTGATAAAATTTAAATAAATAAACATGCACCCAAAACCTTTGAAAGAACTTTTATTTTGTGAAAGGCAGAAATCACCCTTTAAGTCTCCCAATTAAATTGCATTGTATTAAATAAAGTTTGAATAAACTCACACTTGAAAGATTCTGTCTATCCTTATTGTGTTTAAAAACATGGAATTCATTTAATTACAGTATCTTATTTTCTCAGAAAGTGTTATATACGATATCTTGCTTTTTGAAATAAAATGTTAACCACTCAGCTGTGTCATTCTTTATTGCCATTTTACCACATTGTCCTTAAATGAACTTCTTCAAGCAGTTGACAGTCAACATATCCTAGTGAGTATCTACTGGTCTATCAGGCCAGCCACCCTGTCTTTTGTCAGGAGGAAGGTATCTGGTTATTTTGGGACTGAATTCTGTGTCATTAAGAACCAAACCATTCCACTTTGAGCCCCACATTGCTCTTGTGAACATTATTCTAGCAATTTCAGAGATTCCAGGAAATCCAACTAACCAAATGTTAGAAACTTGGGGACTGAAAGACTAGTTCAGTGGTTCCTTGAGGATTTATGTGGAATGTTCTGGATGAAACCAACTTCTAATTTTATTTTGTGTAATAGACTCCAGTAAATATCTCAGGGGCACTAACTAGATACCGGATACTTTATGAAGACTGCAAAATACTTTTAAATGACATAACCGCTTCTCTAGACATCTTTCCATCTGTTAGAAGAGTTAAATAACTTAATGACCATATTACATAAAGGGGTATTTAAATTAAGTAATATGCTAAATAATTTAGAGCAGTCCCTGTTAGTAAAGGAAGAGAAAGTCCATAGTACAGAAAACCTTATTCTTTTCTGCATAAATGGTTGAAAATAATCATTTTATCTATTAGAAATATATTTGTTATGTTCAGATTCAAACTAACTCTTTAGCTTTTGCTCAGGTTATTTTTATAATTCTATACTTCTTTGCACCTAATTCTCCCACAAAGTTATCTGGACATTTGCAGATGTGCCAGAATAACTTCCTAATAACTGCCTATTTATATAAACTATAAATCCAAGCAAATGTCATTAGACCTTTAAGAAAAGTCTGCAGTTGGACAACTCGACACTGTTTTGAATTTTGCGAGCATTTTGAGAACCAAAGGCATCATCATGAGACATAACCAGAAACCTTGCCCACTGTTTAAATCATCCTTTTCTTGGAATCTCCGTTAATCTTTCCTTAATTACATTTTTCACTCTATTTCTCCCTCAACCCCATCCACCACACCTCAAACTGAAATCAATAATTTCCAGATTTCACTGACAACATACACATTCTGTTCTGAATGTGTATCCTAACTCTGATCCGTCTTTTCTCAGGATCAAGAAAGGTTGAGAGAGGCTCATGCTTGTCAGATCCTAGCAGCATCATAGGGCAAGCACCGCTTTGACAGTATCTCCGTCCTCCAACAACTGGAACTTCTGACAACCCCCATTCCTCCCACACTACTCACCAGATTGAGCCTAGGCAAAGAGAGGCCTTCATGGGCTAAACATTGTCAACCTTTCCTGTATCCTCTCCCCTCTTTTACACATGTGCAAACTTGGTTCTGCAACAGAGCTCTCCTTGCTTTGTTTTACATTACATGCATGCTGGCAAAATTTACACTCATTGATACATTACCTTTCTTGGGGATTTATAGCTCTCCATCTGGAAAGTCTTCTAGAACCACTGTGGTCTAGAATGCATTAGAGTGAGTCTTTATTTTGAGTCTCTTTTAAACGTAATTTTTAAAAACGTTTTCCTTAGCTCCTATCTCTATTTATTAATTATTTATTGTTCATAAAAATCTTTTGAGTATCTTTTATGCTATCTTAAATCTCTGGCACCTATGCTAGTTATTTTAATCTATATTTTAAAAAGTTACTTATGCGATTCTCTAATTAAACGTATGAGTCACTTGGAAACCAGTTCGGATCCCTATTCACCACTGTTCCCCTGGAATTACCTCATATAAAATATCCAGTGATCTATGGATAAATAAATAGTAGACGGCCACCAAAACAATTCTCAAGTTATAACACAATGTATTACTTGTTCCCGAAGAAAGTAGATACAAAGAAAAATAAGAAGTATTTTTTATGCCTTATAAAATTTGGCTGAATAAACTTACACTTCATGCTGATGTTCTTCTCACCTCTTGTCACTTTCCATTTGCAAGAGTCCAGCATTTCCAGCTTCTCAGTTAATTTAGTAGCCACTATGGCACACTTTAATTCGCAAGTGGCTGTCTCAGAGGCTGTAAACCCGGTAGGGTTGATAGTAATGCTTAGCTTTCTTCTATTCTCAGAGGAATGTTGGGGAGACAGTAGGCAGAACAATGCCCTGCAAAAGTTGTCCACATCCTAACCTTTGGCACAGATGAATATGTCATGTTACTTGACTACAGGTAATTAGGTTGCAATTAGAATTATGGATGCCAAACACCTGACTGTAAGATAAAACGAGTGTCCCAAATTACCCAGGTGCACCCAATGTAATCTCAAGCATCCTTTAAAGTGGAGTAGGGGAGGAGAAGAGCGATTCAGAGTCAACAAGATCTTTGAAGATGGCGGAGGAAAGACCAGAACCAGAGAAG